TGTTTTTGTTTTTAACTTTTTTGTGACTTGGGTAAAGGTGCACAGAGAAGTCAGTTTTCCATTTCAACAATTCATACATATTTTGTTTCACATCACTGCACAGTGTGACATCACTCATCGCACTTCCTGTTTGCTCTTTCCATTCTTCCTTCTTTCCTAACCCTACTAAACTTTGTCCTTGGGTTTTAACCTCAAATGGTTGATTATTCTAAGGCGTGCATACCTCTCCAGTGTTATTGCTCCCCTTGTCACTCTGTCTGTTGTTTGGCTTAAAGTTGGTGCTTCGGGTGAGTTCATTTCCAGACCTGAAGGGTGAGTAAGGGACAGAGTTGTCAGGGTGTCACCAGGCTCTGTGTGACCAGCAGAGTCCCTGCTGTGGCGCTGTAGGAGAAGCGCACCACAAGGTCTGCAGTTCAAACCCACCAGCCACTCCTTGGAAACCCTATACCAGGGGCGCTATGAGTCGGAACTGACTCCATGGCGCTTAACAAGAACAACAGTGTGAGCAGTAAGCATGGTCTTTTTTGTGATTTTGAGTTTTTCTCCCACTCCAACCAGGATCAAAAAGGTCCATGTTTTTCAGTCTGACTTTTTACAGTTAGTAGTTATCAAGTGTATTCCATCTTAGGACTGTCCCATGTGCAGAATGGAATTGCTTAATAGGCTTTGCAATGCTGTGGCTTTTCAGAAGCATCATCTGAGGCCTCTCAGTGGGTTTGAACTGCCAACTTTTTGGCTAGTACTATAGTGCTTTACCATTTGCGCGACCCCATAGGGACTGCCTGTATGTGTATTATATACTTCGAACAGTCTCCTTTTTGTTACACCTTGATCTGTATGCCCACCATTCTCATTGATTTAGGAGCCCGGCTAGTGCAGTGATGGAATCTCCAGGCTGAGAATGGAGAGGTTGGTAATACAAATCCATTCACCACTTCAGGAGAGAAAGGTGTGGCAGGCTGCTTCCATAAAGATTGTAGCCCTGGAAACTCTATGGGTCCATTCTCCTCTGTTCTGTACGTTGCTGTGAGTCAGAATCGACTTGACAGCTACACATCTCACTGATTTGTGAGTTTCCTGAAGGTAGAGACCATTGAGCATCTACTACGTGCCAGGCGCTTATAGGACTTCAGTTTGATGATAAATAACGAACTAGATTTTTATTTTCCTACCTTCAGTGCATCCTGAATGTGTACACCAACAAGATCATAAGCAGCGATCGGGATCTCTTGGCCGTGGTATTCTTTGGTACTGGGAAAGAGAAAAATTCCGTGAATTTCAAAAATATTTATGTTTTACAGGAGTTGGATAATCCCGGTAAGTAATATTTTCAGGTCAGTTTTTCCCTTACATGAGCTTGTCAATATCCTGAACAAAGAGGGATGTAGAGAAAGAGCAGTTAGGTCTTGCTTGACTGGGAGGGAGTGTGCTTTCCTACAAAAGGGGCTTGCTTTTTTACTGGGATGTGGGCTTTCTCTGTATGGGTTGAAGAGCCTGGGTTGAGAAGGGGGGCTGAGACTTTTCTGTTAGTTTTGTTGTAAAGGCGGTGCTGACCCCATTCTGATTTTTTGTCTTTTTGATCCCCTGTCTCTGATCAGGTGCCAAACGAGTGCTGGAGCTTGACCGGTTTAAGGGGCAGCAGGGAAAGAAACATTTCCAAGACTTCATTGGCCACGGATCTGACTATTCACTAAGTGAGGCACTGTGGGTCTGTGCCAACCTCTTTAGTGATGTCCAGTTCAAGTTGAGTCATAAGAGAATCATGCTGTTCACCAATGACGATGACCCCCATGGCAACGATAGTGCCAAAGCCAGTCGGGCCAGGACCAAAGCCGCTGATCTCCATGACACAGGTGGGCAGTTCGATGCTTCTTTATAGGTGATACCAAACATTTGCTTTTCATCAACAAAGTAAAATGAAAGAATAAAGTGAAGCCTGGGGAAGACATCCAGGTAGCTTTGGTCACTGAAAATGGCCATAAAGAAGGAGCTTGTCCTAACTTTCATGCTATCCTGAATGTAGGCCTTATTTGAGCAAGTCATCTGAAGACATTTATTGTTTGATTCCCTTAGCTACTGTTTCTAAATCCTGAAGTGGTTCATCATCAATCTAGTTCTATGGACTTACCTGCAAAAGACAAACAAACAAAATAAAACAACCTCACTTGCTGAAAATGGATTTTCTGAGGCATTGTCATTCAGATCCTGTACCTGCATTTCGTGTGTCTGAAAGTATACATAGCCAAAGGAGCCCTGGTGGTACAGCGGGTTAAGCACTGGGATACCAGTTGCAAGGTCGATGGTTCAAACCCATCTGGTGCTCTGTGGGAGAAAGATGAAGCTGTCTGCTTCTGTCAAGATGTACAGTCTCGGGAACCCCAAGGAGCAGTTGTCTGTCCTGTGGGGTCACGCTGAGTGGCAATCGCTGCCAGTGGACGTATACAGCTGCTGACCACCACGTTGACAATTGCTCCACATACAATTCAGTGACTTTTTCAAGTCGTGCTGCCCTTCTCCAACTCATTCCACCACCGTTAATCTGAAGCTCACTTCTCCCTGAGCTTCCCATGCCACGCCACGTTTTGAGTTTCCGTTGTCAGTTTGATCTCAGTACTCTAAGCTGATGTACTTTACTGATTAAGATAGAAACATTTGTTCCCTCTACGTGTTTGTCTACCCTTGCACCAGGTATCTTCTTGGACTTGATGCACTTGAAGAAGCATGGAGGCTTTGATATATCCTTGTTCTATAGAGATATCATCAGCATAGCAGAGGATGAGGACATAGGGGTCCACTTTGAGGAGTCGAGCAAGCTGGAAGATCTGCTGAGGAAAGTTCGTGCCAAGGAGACCAGGAAGCGCACGCTCAGCAGGTATGCTGTGTGCCTGGGGCTGTCCACAAGTCCCCTAACAACTCAGGAGCGGTGCGTTGCCTTGCCCTCCCTGGCTACCTAAGTGTGGCCTATGTTTCTGTCTCGTTACATTCCCTCAGACGCTTGGTTTCTGGATGGTATAAGCCATTTGCATCTGTTGCTCTGGAAAGGTGTTTCTCCAGAATAGCATAACTGTTTCCTTGGGGTAAACAGGGTAGTCTCCCTGTACCCTAGTTGCACATTTATTTCTTCTCTCCTCTGTAGGTTTCGGGTAGTAGTAGTACCTGCCTGGTTAGGTTGTGGCTGTGAGGTTGCCTTCCTTCTAGTTGGCTGTTCTGATTCATGTGGTCTCATGTACAACAACAAGACCTTGCCTGGTCCTCCGTCTTCCTTAGGGTTGTTGATATGTTTGAGTCGGTTAATTGATAGGTTCTGTTGTTGTTGTTGTTGTTAGGTGCCATCAAGTCAGTATTGACTCATAGAGGCCCTATTCACAACAGAACGGAACATAGCCGAGTCCTGTGCCAACTTCACAATTGTTGCTACATTAGAGCCCATCGCTGCTGACTGTGCCATTCCATCTCATTGGGGG